TTTTTTTTTTGGGGGGGGGGGGTTAAAACTAACTAACAAACAACTAACTAACTGATCTTCTTTTTTCCTCAAAAATAAATTTTCCTCCTCTTTATTTTTTACCCGCGCGGCTCTTCAAAAGTTTTCTTTTTTTATTTTTAAAGTTTTTAAGCATTTTCAACGTTAGCTTTAAATAAATTAGCGCTTTTTTAAAGATTTTATTATTGTTTTTATTAGCAACATTTTTGTTTTTATTTTATTTATTATTAAACAATTTTATTATTTTTTTTAAATTCAGGATCTAGTCTTTATTTCGATCAGACACAATTTCCGTTCAGACATATAATTAAAAAATTAATCAAAATTTAATTAAGCAGTCGAACCTCCGTCTTAAAACACCCTTCGGTGCTTTGGAAATTTTATTTTAAAATGAGAAGTATCCAAAATCGTTTAATTAGTTCCCTTTTTTAGCCGAATAATTTTTAAAAATTTAAAGTAAGGGTATTAAACTTCTATCCGGAATTTTCCTAATTTTTCAACCTTTTAATTTTCATTAATATATTTTATAATTTATTGTTATCCTCTCATTTTTATTTTTTTATTGTTCAAAGAGCAATAAAAAAATTTTGTTTTTAGGGGTAGTGAAAGAGTTGTATATCATAAAATAGCTTCCCAAATTTGGCCAATTCCCTTCTACCCCATTATTTTTTTCTGGATGAGAGAAAAAAGATCAAAGAATTTTTTAAAACAATGAGGAGATATGGATTTGTTTTTATTTTTAATTTTTGGCCTTAAAACTTATTTAAAAATTTTTTATTTTTTTCGCACCCCCTTAGGGCACAAGAAAACAATTAAAAATATGTATCTGTACTGGCCATTGTTGTGTGTTAGTCAGAGATTTTATTTCTCGGAATTATTTTTAGATAAATTTTCCAAACCTCGAAGTTTCATTTAATTCTAAAAATCTTCTTGATAAAAATTTTTATTTTTAAAATTAAATTTCAAACAGATTATGAAATATATATGCCATCCTCTATTTTTTTCCTTTTTTATGTCCAATCTGCAAATAACTAACCACGCTTTTTCCCCCTCAAAGTAAATTTAATGAGCGCAGCGACCAGCTGCTTTTACTCTTTTTTGGAGTTATTGTTATTTACAAAATTGTGTCTTTTCTAGTTATTCCTATTGTTTTTATTTTTTTACTCAAAAATTATTTTTTTTTGTTTTCTATGCCAATTTAGAAAAAATTGAAGAGAAAAAATATATAACAAGCTTTGTTTTCCCCTCCATTTTCTTGTAAAAATGCTTATTGAGCGCTAACCTTTTTATCTCTTTATTGACTAATAAATATTTTTTTTAATTTTTAAAAAATATTTTTAATGCAAAATTGAATTATTTAATTAAGTAAATTAATGAATTATTCAAATTATTTTTTTAAATTTAATTTTTAATTTTTTAACCCTTTAAATTATGTAGCCTTTTAATTTTACCTTAAAATATTTTTTTTAAAAATGCTTCAAGTTTATTAAAAAATATTCCAAGTTTTAATTAATTCAAGTTTTAAATCCAAGTTTTTTAAGTTTTCAAGTTTATTTATTCAAGTTCAAGCTCAAAAATTTTTTTTAAAGTTTTATTTTTAATGCTTCAAGTTTATTTAAATTGTAAACTTGTATTTTATTTAATCCAAGTTTTGACTTCAAGTTTCAATATTCAAGTTCAAGCTTCTTATTTTATTTATTTTTAATGTTTCAAGTTTTAATTTCAAGTTCTAATATTTTATTACGTTTCATGTTTTATTATTTAATCTTGCTTCAAGTTTTATTGTTTATAACCTATTTAACTAGCAATAAGTACATTACTTCTATATTTGGGATTTCTTGTAATTATTCAAAATAAAATGCCAAAAAATACTCAAGAATTGTGTCTTGTATTTATTCTCTTTTTACGCTAATTTTACAAACAAAAGAAAATTTATTTTTTTAATGTCGCGCAGTTAAAGACTAAAAAAAGTCAAAAGACAATTAAAAAATGAAAATATCAAAAAAGTCTTTTCCGGAATTTGTATTTTATTTTAAGAGATTATTGTAGAGAAAAGGTTTATTTATTTTTAAAATAAAGGTGAAAAGGTTTATTTTCAAAAGAAAGTTTGGTGGGCTATTAATTAATTGTTTTTTATTTTATATTTACTTTTTGCCCAAGTTTATTACAAAAAAAAATTTTTTTTATTTATTAGAAAGGTTAAAAAATGCTGCAAAATTAATCTCTTATCTTTTAATAAATTTAATGTCAAATTAATTTTTAAAAAGAATTTTTGCTTTATTTAATATTTAATATATAGTGAGTGCACCTCACTTTTTCCTTAATATCTCTCGAATAAATGTACCTTTTAAGAAGCTTTTGGTATCATTCGATAGAGGATTAAATTCTCTATAAAATATAGAAAAATTGAAAATTTTTGTTACAAACTAAAAAAGATGTATTAGAAAAACTCGGTTTTCTAGGCATTTTAATTGGTTAAAAATGTTTACTTTTTTGTCGACAGCTTTTTAATTTGAAAATCAAAAATTTTAATTTTATTTTTTTAAATAGAGAATTCAATTCTCTATTTAACAATATTTAGTTTTATTAAAAATTGTTGAAAGCTTATTTAGTTATAAGGCATAAACTAAGGCAATACATATATCTGTTGTTCAATTAACTTTTCTTCCTCTCATGTCAACTATTCTCCTCCCTACCTGTATTAGGGATAGGACGAGTTACCCGAATCCCGAACCCTGTTCTTTTTTTGATTAGAAATCCGAAACCTTATTCTAAAAGAATTTTTTTGAAAACCTGATACGAGAGCACGAAATTTTTTTCGACCCGCCCCATCCCCACTCTGTATTTTTTTTTATTTTTCTAGGAAGTATTTCAATTTTAATAATTTATTAATTTCCAAAAATTATTTTTAATTTCCATAAATTTCCCTATTTTTCAACATTTTATCTTTTTCGCGCAATTAACTCCCTATTCGCGCAATCTTCCTCAATTTTTCCATCCAATAGAGAAAGGATTGCGTGCCATCTTTTTTAATATTTTCTACCTTTCTTTTACACATTTTTACAAGGATTTTTAAGCGCGTGAATATGTAAAAGGGGATCATTTGTTGACAAAAATCATTAGAGCGTCTCTCCGCCCTTGGCTTTTTTAATAGAGGGGATAATGGAAGGGAGGGGGGGGGGAGATAATGGACATTAAAAAAGCTTTATAATAATAATTTTGCCAAGAAGAGGAGTGAGTTTGGCATTATCTTTAAAAACTAAGAATTGGTTTATATTCTCCCTTTTTCCATTAAATCTCCATCCATTATTTTCATTCCTTCATTTTATTTTTTTTCAACAATTTATCGTATACCTTGGTTACACCTTTGTGCCGTTAGATTAATGAGGCTTTTTAAAAAATATTTTTTTGAGAAATTGGGGGATAATGGCTAGCTAAAACTTTATTTAGACTCAATTATAATTCTATTTTCGATCGAGAAATTTAAAAAAAACGAATATTTTAAGATTGACCTTAAAACAGGGGAAAAATCGAGAAAATTAAAGTTTGCTTGTTCTCTTCCTTTAAATTTTATTTTTTCCCATTTTTCTATAATTTTTGCTGTTTTCTATTTTATAGCAAATTTAATTCTGTATTTAAAAATATTAAAAAAAATTTCACAAAATTAATTATAAGGTCATAAGAATTAATGGGCTTTACCTCACTCATGTCCCTTTAATTTGCGCAATTCTTTTTGTTCTTCTTACATTTCCGGCACTTTAAAAATTAAAAATTAAAATAATTTTATTTATTTACTATTCAACCTTCCTTTTATTTTTTTTACTGACTTAATAATTATTACCGGGCATATCCTCATTCACCGGCTAAATTGGCAAATCTCTTCCCTCCCATTTTATTAAATCTTTTTAATATTTACAATACTTCTTTAACTACAAATTTATTTTAATCTTTTAAGTGCCTCTTTCACAATAACACCTTTTTTAATAATTTTTACATCTTTCCTAAAAACTCTTTTTTTTGTTTTTAAAATAAAAATTTTATTTTTATTGCGCACAAGAAACAATTATTTATAATTTTAAAAAGAGGAAATACATTAAGCTTTAAGGAAGGATTTAATTTTTAAATTCATTCGTTTGTTAATTTAAATATTAAGGCTTGTAGTAAGGTTGTTGTATCGAGGCTTGTCCGCATTCAAAAAAAATTTTCTTACTTGAGCCTAAATTGTTCTCTCTCATAGATCTCCCCATGTTTATTGAAGCAATACCGAAGCCATAATTATAATATAATGAAATAATGGAAGAGGATACCCCTCCTAAATGTTTTTAACTGCAGCCAGATGATTGGAAATTAAAATAAATTTCCAGGGATTTTTTTAAATTTAAATTTGCTTGAATATTTTTTTTGAGGACTTAAACCTTTTCGAAGACCATTACAAAGTCTTACAACCTATATTTGCCTAATTAACTCTTCTAAATTTTAGAAATATTTTAAAAAAAATAATAAATCTTTAAAATAATAATGGAAAGCATCTTCTCATTTTTAAATATTTTTTTGTTTTATTTATTTTTTTAATTTAATAGAGTGCTTTTTCTCCGTTAGTATATTTTGTTTTTGTCTTATAATAATTATTATATTTAATAAAAATTTGAAATTTTTTTTCTAATATAATTTCCATCCATTCTTCAGATTGCTACTTTTGTTTTATACTTTTTGTAATTATTTATTTTAAATAAAATATCTAAATAATTTTTATGATTTACTCCCCTTTGATCATCTATTTCTTACAGGTATTTTGTCCTTGACTCTCGTTTTTTCCAAAAATTTTCTCGTATTTTTTTCACTCAATGCCAAAGATCTAGCTGACTTAAAAATTAGATTCACAGAAGTCGGAATTTCCAAATTTTCTTCCAATTCCCGGCTTTCGAGAATCGTGCATCTAGATTTTCCGCTCCGTACGTCAAAAAATTTTTTATTTCTAGAAATTTCTTGTAGAATGTCAAGTCGCCGAAAGGCTGCTCCAATACGTCGATTACCTAGTCAAAACGCTCTTCTTCAACAACAACAACAACAATTATCTTCTTCAAAATTAATTAATAATTCCAAAATTTCTGATCCTCGTCTTAACGAAAAAATTAGCAATATTAACCAAAGTATTGACCAAAAAGAGCAATCAAATAATTTATTAATTAAAAGCAATAAAAATAATTATAATATTATGAATTTGACTTGTTCTGCTTCGGAAAATAATCCTTCATCGTCGAGATTGAAGGAAGAAATGGAAGAGAATGCTTTAAATGAAGGAAGGGAAGAGGAGGAAGGAATTGACTCTAATTTGAAAGAAGAGGAAGATATGGAAGGAAATGAAGGGGAAATGGAAGAGGGAGAAGAAGAGACTGATGAAGAAATGGAAGAAAATAAAAATGAAGAGGATGCCCAGAAAGAGGAGGAAGAAAGGGATGAATATAAGGAAGAGGAAGAAGAAATTCTGACAATAAAAAGAAAGAAAATTAATAAAAATTTGGCTGTAGATCCCCAAATAGCTTCGACTAGTTACTGTCATGATATTAAAGGAAATTCTGTGAAGGACGAGCAAAAGGGAGGGGAAGAGGAAGATCTCATGAATACAGAACCAGGGGATCAACAATTATTAAATAAGCCTGTAGGCTTTTGTTTAAAAAAATTTTTTTTAATTTGGAAAATAATAAAAATTAAAATTTTTTCCTAAAAATAAAAAAAATTGTAAAAAAATTTCTAAAACTTTTTCTAAAATTTTTAAATTTCTTAAGAAAAATTTTTTTAATTTTTCTAAAGAAATTTTTTAAACTAATTTCCCTTTAATTTTCACAGTTTCAACACCAACAATTATCAACAACAACATTTTCCCCCTCAACATTACCCCATAATAATTGTATCGCAAAACACCAAACATTTACCGATCCCAACATCCAAACACCCCAAAAACAAACTTTAAATTTCAAACAAAACAACAACAAAGTTTATTTAAATGAACAACAACAAAATGTTTTGGAAGAAACATTTGACGAAAACAAACTTGAAAATAAACTTGTTTTGAATGGGGCAAGCAATGTTGTTGTTAATGGAGAAAACTTGAAGCATGAAAATGAAAGGTGGGGGTTTGAAATTTTTTTGAAAATTAAAAAAATTTTTTTTCCGAAATTTTCAACTTAACATTTACATAAATTTCGCATTAAAAACGTTTTTTATAGTCGCGCATTCACTACAGTAGTATCCCGCCCATTCTTTTCTCTCAAACCCCGCCTCTATTTATCCCTCTCATTATGCTACATTTTCTTTTGTTGTTTATGTTTCGCTCTAGCTTTATCGAGACTATTTAATAGCATTAATTAGTGTTTACTTTTATAACACTTAGATTCGGATGCTTTTTAAAAAATGTTGCCAAGTTAATAATTTTTCTTGGATGTGTCTCAAAAAGGTGTAGGACCCATCTACAACTTTCAAGTCCATTCATATATCTGTTCTTGAGACTTCATTTTCTCTGTTTAATTGGGTCTAATTTCGATAAAAAACTGATAAGCTGATAATCTAATTTTTATCAGCTTATATAGAAATCGTTCTACAGTACTTCCCAACCTTTTTATTAATTATTTAAAAAAACATAATAATTTTTTTCTTTATTTTTTTATTATTGTCTGGACAAAGTTTGGACAACGTCTAAAAATATACACATACAAAAACACTCAAAAAATAACCCCAAAATGCAATAAAATAAATTGCCGCGCTTTTATCTAAACAAATCACCTTTCTCTATTTCTCCTCTCCCCTCAAGCCATTGCCCAAATTATTTGTTTCTGTTTGAGAGGGTTATATTACACCTTTTTTAAAATGATTGAGATGGGCAAAAATGTGTTGATGTTGAGAGAACATTTATTTTTGTGTTTCTGATAATTGGGAAAAACTTAAAAACTTGGGAACTTAAGTTTCTAAACATAAAAACAATTTACTTTTAACACCCATAAAATTCTGATTCCTGCTTCAAAACATTTTGTTTAATTATTCTGGTTTTCTGGGAATTTTCCGGATTGTATTTTTCATTGTATTTTTTCCGGAATGTGTTTTCTTTGTATTTTCTATCCTTTCCGGAATGTATTTTTTCTTTTTCTACTTTTTCCGGATTGTGTTTTTCATTGTATTTTTCTGTTTTCAGAATGTGTTTTCCGGAATATTTATTTTAATATTTCAAGTTTATAAAATACAAAACTTTAAGTCCTTTTATGTATTTTAAACAAACTTAGCGTAGGTGTTTTAAGTTTGAGCTTATTTAGTTAATTATATATTTGTTTATACAATTGTTCACATAAAACCGTTCTTTTTTACTTTTATAGACTTTTACGTCAAGTTTTGTTTATTAAAATATTTTTTGGGTAAATAATAAACAAAAATTTTATTTATTTAAAATCAAAGGTATTTTAAGCATTTAAATTAATTTAAAAAAAAAATATTTTTTATTTTTATTTTCCCACAATAATTATTTTTAAAATTAATATTTATTTATTTTTGCCCCTAAAAAGTAATTTAAAAATTAATTAGGCAAGACGGCATTTCTCAAAAGAAAAATTATAATTCTTTTGAATTTTTAAAAATCAAAAACCTCTTTACCATTCAACTTTTTACGAGTATATTACACCTTTAGTTAAGCCTTTTTTAAATAAAAAGGCAAAAATGCCGCTCAATTATGCCTACAGAAAATATTTAAATTTATTTTTATTAATTTCTATTTAAACTCATGATCCCCTTCCTTATTTTGGCAGTCATTCTAAAATTATTTTTTTCTTTTCTAATGTTTTTTTTGTTTTGCCTTGGTCATCTGCCCGCCTTTGTTTTATTTTCCCTTTTTTAGAATATTAATTTCTAATTTTCCTCCCTTTTTTCTACCAAAATGGCGCCGTTCCTTGATTCTTTACTTATCAGTTAAATAATAAACAGCTTCCCAAATTTAAAAATCATTCTCTAAAAAATTTATTTTTCTTTTAATTTTTTGTTGTTGACTAGGTATGTGCTTCTATTATTATTTTTTGTTTAAATTAGACTTGGCTTGAATTAAAAAAATTATTTTTTAATAATACATATGATCGTGTATTTTTTAGGCCCATATCAGAGTCTTTTAATGCCTTGATTCTTTCCAATTATTTTTAGGACCCATATCAGACCTTAGTATTCCTCCAAAAAATTATTTTTTTATTTTTTTGATCACTAAAAATAGAAAAAAGATAATAAAACTAAAAATAGGGAATATTTTTTTATCAGAAAAGGGAACCCAAAAATAACAAAAAATAATTTGAAATTTTCAGCAAAAAAAATTTTTTTTAAATAAATTCAAGTCTTTTTTTAAGAAAAACAATTCTTTATTATTTAATTTTTTAACAATACATGTGACACAAATTTAGGGAAAAAAACTTTAAAGGTTCTTTAAACAATGTACTATTTAAATAATAAAATAGTAGTAAACATTTTTTGAATCACTTTTTTTATTTAAATAAAAAATTAAGAAAAAATAAGGGGAATATAAAGATAAAATTTGTTTTGTTAAAAAATTGATTTGTTAATTTGTTTTTTAAATTTATAAATTAATTTTATAACAATTAACAAAATTTCGAAATCGTTATCTTATTTTGTTTCATAGGATTTTAATTTTTACAATCAAAACTTGGGCTTTATATTTTCATAATTCTCTCGCTATGGGTTTCTTATCAGACTAGGACATGGATACTGATTTTGGTATCCGTATCCGGATACTCACGGCGGAATCCGCAGGCATTTTTATAATATCCGTATCCATATCCGTATCTATGTCTATGTCCGAATCAAGAAAGTATACGTAAAAAGGGGTTGTTATTAGGTAATATAGATTAGGTATATTAAATTCATTATTAATTTTGATTAAATATCAAACTTAAATCTCGATCGAACTTCGAAGTCGATATCTTTTAATTCCTAAATTAATTCTATACTTTCTTTGTTCTTATTAAAATAAACCCCAGAACCTTTACAAATAATTTTTTATTGTTAATTTATTTTTATCTCATTTCCTTTTTTTATTATTCCACCTACCTAAAAATAATAAACTGATCAAAAATGGGAAGTTTTTTGAATAATTTTCTATTTATTCTGTCCAATGCTTTTCCTTTTTTATTTCATCCTTTTTTAAATTCATTTTTATTAAAACCGACAATCGCCCACTCACCGATTTTTTTTAAAAAACATTTTGTCTTTTTTGATGATTTTCTATCAGTTTTCCGTTTATTTGCATTTAAGCAAATTTATTTTTTATTTAAATAATTTAGTAGATGAGATCAGTATTAGTGATGCTCGGGTATCCCGATCCCGACTCCCGACTCGGGAAAATTTCCCGAGTTTTTGGCCTCCCGATCCCGATCCCGACTCCCGGTGTCAATTCCCGACTAAGTCGGGAAATTTTTACACCCCTAAGAATGGATTTTTCTGACAAAATTATATTTTTATTTAGAAAAAATGAAGAAATCTGGCCTGTTGGTCTTTTAAAATTCCCAAAATTTTTGCCTGCAGCGCTGAAAAGCGAAGATTTTTGGCTTAAGGATCTTCCAAAATCCTCAAAATTTTCGCCTGCGGCGCTGAAAATTGAAGAATCTGTGGAGTTGTAGTATAGAAGATTTCGGTGATTTACTAGGATTATGGTGAATTTAAAGAGATAACGAGGGATTTGCAGTAATAAAGAGAGATATCAATGGATGATTAATGTTGCATAGGGTGTTAATACTATTGAGAGGATATAAAGAGATATGTGGCTAGTTCACCAAAATTCCACAAAATTGAACGTAAAAATATTTTTATCTGTTTCACTTTTCCTCTATTTCACTCCATTGGAGCGATTCTAAGGACTTAAGGTCAATGACAACAATATAAAATAATCAAAGCTGGGCTCTGGCTCAAAGAAAAAGCCCCCAGCAATACCCAACACTGATTATCTCTGCGGTTACAAGGTTTTTTGGACAGGCTGTTGGCTTATCTTTCCAAATAATTGGGGAAATAAACTCTTAAGTTACCCTTAAAGATCATTCAAGACCCCTTTCTATTTCACTCCAATGAGAGTCAAAATTTTTGGCTGCGGCGCAAAAAATGGAAGAAATTTGACTTCTTGACCTAAAAATTCTCAAAATTTTCTCTTGCGGCGCTAGTAAGGCTTCTTTACCTTCCAAAATTTTCAATATTTTTGCCTATGGTACAAAAAACCGAAATTTTTGGCGCCGAAGGCGCCAAAAAATTTTTGAAATTTTTGGAAAAATTTTTTATTGCTAATTCCCGACTCCCGATCCCGACTCCCGAGGTCATTTCCCGACCCGACTCCCGTTTCCCGATTCCCGGGTTTTTTCTTCTCCCGAGCATCACTAATCAGTATATACTTCCATACTTCCATTTTTGGAATGATCAGTTTAACATTTTTTAAACGATTAATTTTTGCTTTTGTTTGGCATTCTGTTATTTTTTTAAGTGAAAAGAGTTTAAGAAAGGGTAGAGGGGAGAGAAGAAGAGTAACTGGATAAAGTAATCCTCCCAAATCCTTCGATACCCCTCTTAATCTCCCTAATCCCTCTATATCTCTGTTCAAATTCCGAAGTCCGTCTTTACTTCCTCTAATCTTCTATATCCATTGGTACTGCTCCAAAAATTCTATTTAAAAAACAGAACGCCAAAAATTCAAACCGCCAAAAACGCAAAAAACCCCCAATAGAAATGTATTTCAAAATTTAGTTAATTTCTTCAAAATTAATTATTAATTAATTGTCTACAAAATATTTTTCTAAATAATAATATTTTATGCTTGAAATAACAATCTCTCCTTTCTCTCGATTAATTGGCCGAGCAATAAAAAAATTATTATTTAATTTTTGTGTGCGTGATGTCTCAATATTTGGGGGTTTTTGGGGGGTCATTTTATGGTCACTCATTCTTTTCTCATTTATTATCGTTTACCTTTGTCTCTTGCCTTGAGAGATTCTTCCCCAAAAAATTTTTTGCCCGCACATACAAAATAAATACACCTTTAGCACCCCCCCTCCCCTCTCTCCTATCGTTTCCCCCAAAATTATTTATTATGTGACCCTTCTTCCAATTGTTAGTATATTTATAATATTAATTTCCCAAATTTACGCATGGTCAATTACTTCTACCCA